GAGTCGAGTCTGGAACAGCGAGGCGGGGGAGGAGTCGAGTCTGGAACCGTGAGGGGAGGAGGAGTCGAGTCTGGAACAGTGAGTGGGGAGGAGTCAAGTCTGGAACAGTGAGGTGGGGGAGTCTGGAACAGTGAGGGGGAGGAGACAGTAAGTGACAGGAGTAGTCAGGAAAAATGAGGGGTGGAGTCAGGAAGTGAGGGCAGGAGTTTGGAGCAGTGAGGGGGAGGAGTCAGGAAGAGTGGAAAGGGGCTACTTGAGGAGCTTTGGTTGGGTTAGGAGAGAGGGATGTGAAGAGTAGAACCAGGGACACTTGTGAAAGGCAAGGATATGAGCTTCTATGAATAGTGAACTCAGGAGGTTATCTGATACAAGCAGAATCAGCAGAGCCTGGAATAAATAGAATTATCGAAGATCACATAATTTGGTGTGTTAGCTATAGTATATTGTGCCAAATACTGCTGGAGAATTAATGGTGTTTATTATGTACACCATTAATAGTGTGCAAATCAGCCAGCACATTAAAAACCTAACATTAAGTACTTTGTGATATACTAGTAGAATTTATGTATTAGCTGATCATTAAACTCACAACAGAAATTTCACTCTGGTGGTGAAGTGTTAAATGCTCTTTAACAAAGTGATCATTGTAAATGTAAGGCTAATCAGCCTCTCTGGGCCAAACCGAGAGCAATTTAAAATGTTGAACTATATTCCTGCATATAACAACAACTTTGATTTATATAATGCCATCAACATAATGCTTAACATGTGTGCTACGCCACTCAGACACATAAGGAGGTAGTAGGCCAGTGACCAAAAGCTTGGTCAAAGAGGTAGGTTTTAAGAAGCCTCGTAAAGGAGCAGAGAGACATGGACAGGTGTGGGCAGGGAGTTCCTCAGTACCTTAGCAGATGATGGCACTGTCACCAACAGTGAAGCGATTAAAACTAGGGATGTACAAGTGGTCAAAATTAGTTCAGCACATATATCCCTGCAGCAGTTCAAGAAGGTAGCTCACCACCACCTTCTCAAGGGCAACTAGGGATGCACAACAAACGCTGGCTAGCCAGCGACACCCACATCCCACAAATGGATAAAAAAAATCCCAAATCCCATGTATATTAAAATCAAGATGTTGCTTAACTGTGAACTAATGTAGGATAACATGCATAGGGGTGATGGGTGAAAAGAATTGGACATAAGTTAGGACATGGATGGTAAAATGTTTGAAGATCTCAGGTTTAGAGAGTTGTCAAGTAGGAGAAAATAGCCAGGAGTGCATTACAATATTCATGTCAAGAAGTCACAAAGACATGAGTGAAGATGAGCTGAGGTGGGGAGATAGATATTACAGAGATGGAAATAGGGCAGCTTGATGATGCTGTTTTTAGAGTCACTTCTTGAGGTGAGATACGGCAGACCAAAGATGCAAAACCATCTGAACCAGTCTTAGCAAAGAGAGAGGGTTGGAGTCAGTGCTAGGGATGGGCATTTGTGGCAGAAACTGAAGACAATGGTTTTGACCTTCCAAATACTTAATTGTTGGAAATTTCTGCTCATCTAATATTGGGTTTCGGGGAGCAGTGTGACAATTTAGAGACAGTAAAGGGACAGTGAGGTGGATCACACAAAGAAACTGATGTTGAGTTTTCAGACGATGTTGCCTGGATGCTTACATGTAAATATGAAATGGGGATGTGGGATCGAGAATTGATCCTTAGAGGATGCCAAAGTGAATAGTGAGAGAATGGAAAGTGAAACCATTGCAGGTGGTCTTCTGGTTATAATTTGATAGAAATGTGGTGAACCAAGTGAGAGCAGACCCACCCAGCTGGACCACAGCACAGTGATGATGAAGGATCATGGATTCATTTACTGTGTCAGAGACTGCCGGCAGGTTCAGGAGGACAAGGAAGGAAGGTCTAGTTCTGTCTCAGTGAAGACATCTGTGATTTTCAGAAGAGTCATTGGTACTTGGGACAGAGCAGAAATCTAATTAAAGGTATGAAAACTCAGAGTTCCAGGTAAAATTGGAACCGATCTGGGATGCAACAGTACATTCAAGGATTTCAGAGAGGAAAGGAAGTTGAAAGGGACAGAGAGGACAAAGTGACAAGGGTGGTTATTTTGAAAGGAGGTGTGATAGCAGCAATTAAGGGCTAGGGCACTAAATTGTTGGTAGATATTTTTAAAAATAAGTCACTTAAAGTCTTTACTTTTTCAATTTTCCCTTCAGTCTATTTTTTACCTTTCTGATTTCTCTATAATTTACCCCATTACCTTTTCCCTTATTCCTCTGTTTCTTTAGTTGCATTCCATATGGAAAAACACTCAATCCCATTGTTCACTATTCCAAGATGCCCCATTGCTCTCGCTGGTCCCTTACCCACTCATACGTACAGCAGATTACAATACGAAAGATCTCCGAACTCAAAGGTGCAGGCAGAAGTATTGATGTTGCGCTTTATATTCTAACTCCCGTGAGGTTCTTTCCCATATTTCAGACGGTATCTGATCCCAGGAAGTTGCTTACCTGCTGCTCCGCAGCTTTTTCCCAGTAATAAATACGAGCATTGATGTTCTTCGTTACATCACTGACGTTAATGGTTCGCAAACCACCGCTCCCTTTAACTGTCAGGCTCGGTATTGTGAGATTGGCTGCAAAAAGGAAGACGTGCATTTATGTAAGCACCCTTCACAACCACTGGATGTCTCAAAACACTTTACCTGGATAGCCAGTAATGTACTTTTTTTAAGTGCCAACACTGTTGTAAGAAACACAGGAACAATTATGGATACAAATAGCTCTGATAAACAAGAATGTGAAAGTGAAAGTTTGTGTGATGTTTATTGAGGGATAAATTATTAGCCAAGACACAAGAGGCATCTCCTTTGCTCTTCTTCAAGACAGTGCCATGGGATTAATAATATCCACTCAAGCAGGGAGCTAGAGCTTCAGTTTAATGTCTCATGTAAAAGACGACACCTCTGACAGTGCATCGCTCCTCCGTACTGCACTGGAGTATCAGTCTAGATTGTTGTTCCCAAGCCCTGTAATGGATTTTGAATCAGGAATCTTGTGACTCGGAGGTGGCAGGGGTTGCCAATTGAACAGCAGCCAAATAACCAAAACAACAAACAGTTAACAATATAACAATATTAAATCACTAAATAAAAGCCAAAAGAACTGCGGATGCTGTAAATCAGGAACCAGTTCTGAGGAAGGGTCACCGGACCCGAAACGTTAACTCTGTTTTCTCCTCCACAGATGCTACCAGACCTGCTGAGCTTTTCCAGCAACTTTGTTTTTGTTCCCAACATTAAATTACTTGCTATTTCTTGATTAAGAAACCTGACATATTGAGAATTCCAAATGTGTTGTTTCATTCTTCATTTAAAATTGCTGACTGGGCAGACACTGTCTGCTTCTGGGGGACAGTTCACCAGACACTGACTCTTGCTGGGGTACCCAAAGACAAAATTTAACCTCAACAGATCTAACCATCAATCTAACTCCAAAACGATTTTTTTTACCAAAGATGGCTGCAATATTAGTGGTTGTTCTGTTTTCGATAAGGATAATGAATGGATAGTATGCATTGACAGAAACACGTAGGTCCGTAAACAGCATCTCGGTGTCCATAAATTTGATATTGTGTAATCAGAAATTTGGGCACCTTGGTTTAATAGGTAACTTGATAGGTTGTAGAATAAATGCACTTGTTCAATTTCTAATGATGGGGTGGGAGGTGTGGGTTTTTACTTGTGCTCAATCTCTATTCAAGTCCATATTGAAGGATTAAGGATATACATATACTGGCGCTGCAAAGCAGGTCTGAAGATATAATGTACTATCTGAAACTCAGAACGTCTGGTCGCTTTTTGAGTCCAGTAATGTCTTCTTCAGACTTGAAGCATTGACTCTGTTTCATTGTAGTTGTTCGCTAGCTCGCTGAGTTGGTTGTTCTGTAGTGCGCAGACGTTTCATTAGCCTTCTAGGCAATATCATTTGATTGCTATCCTCGGTAGTATACAGCTAGTATCCCTGCCTATCACGCGGGAAACCAGGATTCAATTCCCCTCTGGGAAGGCTCTAAGCGTGTTTTCTTTACCTTCCCTGGTAGTCTAGTGGTTAGGATTCGGTGCTCTCACCGCCACGGCCGAGGTTTGTTTCCCAGTCAGGGAATGGAGGCTCTGGGGCAGCATGGTGGCCAAGCACTGCTGCCCCACAGCACCAGGGACCTGGGTTCAATTCCATCTCGGGCAACTGTCTGTGTGGAGTTTGCACATTCTCCCCGTGTCTGCGTGGGTTTCCTCCGGGTGCTCCGGTTTCCTCCCACAGTCCAAAGATGTGCAGGCTGGGTGGATTGGCCATGCTAAATTGCCCATAGTGTCCAGGAATGTGTAGATTAGGTGGGTTATAGGGGGATGGGTCTGGATAGGATGCTCCGAGGGTCAGTGTGGAGCTGACCAAAGGGCCTGTTTTCACACTGTAGGGATTCTATGATCATCAGTGCAACCTCTAATGGACGCGTTGGTGTTCTGCTTCCTTCCGGATTTATATGATCCTCTGACATGATGGTCTTGTCGCTTCTGGTTCTGTTGTTTTAGCAGCGGTCTGTATAAGGGGTCTATTTCTATATGTTTGTTAATGTCTTGTGTTGGGAACCAGACTTCCAGAAATTCCCTTCCATGTCTGGTGTTCGCTTGTCCACGTTGAACTGATGGTCGTCGTTGTCTGTGCGTATCAAGATAAGTGAATATTGGCCGTGTCTTTTTACTACCAGCTGGTGTTCATGTATCCTGGTCGTCAGTTTCCTCCCTGTTTGTCCAAAGTCTTTAGTCTTTGGCAACAACATCTTATCAAATATGAATTTCCCTAGAGTGGAAGAAAAACAACAAACCGCTCCCGTTCTTTGATGTAATGGTAGAGAGACTGACTAACAGCAAACTCTGGACACAAATATACAGGAAGGCCACACACACGGACCAAATCCTTAACTTCCACAGCAACTACCCCACCATACACAAACAGATCTGCAGCACACTGCAACAGCCCAGAACTCTGGAGAATGGAAGAGGAACACCTACACAAAGTTTTCACCGACAATGGATACCCAAGAAGTTTCGTCCACAGATGCCTACAAAACAAACGACAGTCAGAGGACATGGTACAACAATGCTACCCTACATCAAAAATATATCAGAAATGACTACCAGACTCCTAAGACTGGATAAGATCATGATTGCACACAAGCCTACAGCAACACTGCACCAAACGTTATCAAAGACCAAAGACCCCATACCGTCAGTAAACAAGACCAACGTGACATACAGAATACCATGCAGCAAGTTCAATCAACATTGCATTGGACAAACAGGGAGGAAACTGACTACCAGGATATACGAATACCAACTGGCAATAAAAAGACACGGCCAATATTCATTTGTCTCAATGCACACAGACAATGAGGGCCATCAGTTTGACTGGGACAAAGTGACCATACTAGGACAAGCGAACACTGACATGTAAGGGAATTTCTGGAAGCCTGGTTCTCAACACGGGACTCCATTAACAAACACATAGAAATAGACCCCATATACACACCAAAACTACAGAACCAAGAGCGACAAGACCATCACACCAGAGAATCATATAAATCCAGAAGGAAGCAGAACACCAATGCTTCGATTAGAGCTCACACTGATGATGTTGCCTAGAAAGGTAACAAAACATCTGCACACCACAGAACAACCGGCTCAGCGAGATAATGAACAACTGCATCCACAACCCGAGCTACAAATTTTCGTTAATACCTGTTTCACAGTGGACAGATGGTGCCAGACCAGATTTTCGCCAACACTTTCTGTTTTCATTTCAGATTTCCAGCATCCATGGTACTTTGCATTTGTTGCTGCCCTACCAGAGCTAAGTCATTAAACTGAGGCTATGCGTCCCCGCTCATTTGGCCAGTAATGTCCCATGGTAATACGGAATAGAAGACCATCCTGTTTTACTTTTCTCCTTTAAGCAATGTCATCGATATTGCTGGGCTACAGTATGTTGACCCTTCAAATTAATTTCCAGGCCTCAAAATACCAAGGGTAAACACTGCCATTGGACTGGAAATTGTTGGCATTGATGCTGCATGTTATTGGATGTGCCTATACAAAAAAGAAGCTGCCCAAATTTGCTTATCCATGCCACTCGTGTTGCTGTTGAAACAGAACAGTCAGACTTCACTCGTGGGATACTTACTCTCCTTACGATTGAAGAGTTTGCTGAGGTTTGCCCATTTGGAAGTGATGTTCCCAAGTTGTGCCCGTACCTTCAGATCATAATCCACATCTGATGATATATCCATCGTGACATCACAAGACATCTCAGTCATGCCAGAACATTCCGAGATTGCCACCCAAGTCTTCTTGTGATTTCTTTCAAACTCACTGAAATGGGGGAGGAGGAAGTACAATAAATGTCATGTTAAATCTGGAAGGGTTCTCGTCCCAACAGCTCCCAACTCATCACTGCCTTTGCTCCCCACCTTGCCATTCTGCAGTAAAAGGTAAATGTGCATGGAAGCTACTCAGAGCAGCAGCTTTGGCTTTCCCCAAGTTCGCAACTGTTTCATGCCCTTGATATCTATGCAGAGCCAGCAAACATTGACCCAGTGCTTTTGCTCCCAATGAGTTCTGAGGAAGGGTCACTGGACCCGAAACGTTAACTCTGATTTTTCTCTTCACAGATACTGCCATACCTGCTGAGCTTTTCCAGCAACTTCTGTTTTGGCTCTTGTTCCCAATTGTTATTCCATGCTGTGAGGCTCAGTATTTGTGAATCTCTGATGAGGGTCATATTAAAGCCGTCTTTCCCCATGTATCTAAGTACTCCCCAGTATACACTACATAAGATTCAAGCATAGAGAAAGTCAGTCAAGGCTTGCTAATACTAACTAGGGAAGGATGATCACATGGAATTCTTGGCAGAAGAGGTACGTTCTTGAGTAACAAGAAATAGGATAGCACGTTATTGTAGAATAAGACTTGTAAACTACATTACAATGTAAGTACCACTATATATTTCCTATGAGATAGTAGCTCATCTGAACTATACGATTACAGACTATGGAGTCTATCTTCAGACTGTTACAGACTGACTGGCTCCTCCTAGAAGCAGTCCCTCATGGGCAGACTATTACAAGGCTTCCATTAGAGTCATAGAATCATACAGCACGGAAACAGACTCTTCAGTCCAACTCTTCCACATCACCCAGATATCCTGAACTGATTGAGTCCTATTTGCCAGCATTTAGAACATAGAACATTACAGCGCAGTACAGGCCCTTCGGCCCTCGATGTTGCGCCGACCTGTGAAACCAATCTGAAGCCCATCTAACCTAAACTATTCCATTATCATCCATATGTTTATCCAATGACCATTTAAATGCCCTTAAAGTTGGCGAGTCTACTACTTTTGCAGGCAGGGCATTCCACGCCCTCACTACTCTCTGAGTAAAGAACCTACCTCTGACATCTGTCCTATATCTATCTCCCCTCAATTTAAAGCTATGTCCTCTCGTGCTAGCCATCACCATCCGAGGAAAAAGGCTCCCACTGTCCACCCTATCTAATCCTCTGATCATCTTGTATGTCTCTATTAAGTCACCTCTTAACCTTCTTCTCTCCAACGAAAATAGCCTCAAGTCCCTCAGCCTTTCCTCATAAGACCTTCCCTCCATACCAGGCAACATCCTGGTAAATCTCCTCTGCACCCTTTCCAATGCTTCCACATCCTTCCTATAATGCGGCGACCAGAACTGTATGCAATACTCCAAGTGCGGCCGCACCAGAGTTTTGTACAGCTGCAACATGACCTCATGGCTCCGAAACTCAATCCCTCTACCAATAAAACCTAACACACCGTACGCCTTCTTAACAACCCTACCAACCTGGGTGGCAACTTTCAGTGATCTATGCACATGGACACCGAAATCTCTCTGCTCATCCACACTACCAAGAATCTTACCATTAGCCCAGTACTCTATTCCTGTTACTCCTTCCAAAGTGAATCACCTCACACTTTTCTGCATTAAACTCCATTTGCCACCTCTCAGCCCAGCTCTGCAGCTTATCTATGTCCCTCTGTAACCTGCAACATCCTTCCGCACTATCCACAACTCCACCGACTTTGGTGTCATCCGCAAATTTACTAACCCATCCTTCTACGTCCTCATCCAGGTCGTTTATAAAAATGACAAACAGCAGTGGCCCCAAAACAGATCCTTGCAGTACACCACTAGTTACTGAACTCCAGGATGAACATTTCCCATCAAGCACCACCCTCTGTCTTCTTACAGCTAGCCAATTTCTGATCCAAACCGCTAAATCACCCTCAATCCCATGCCTCCGTATTTTCTGCAATAGCCTACCATGGGGAACCTTATCAAATGCTTTACTGAAATCCATATACACAACATCAACCGCTTTACCATCATCCACCTGTTTGGTCACCTTCTCAAAGAACTCAATAAAGTTGGTGAGGCACGACCTATCCTTCACAAAACAAAATGGCCCATATCCCTCTAAACCTTTCTATTCATGCACCCATCCAGCTGCCTTTTAAAGTTGTAATTGTACCAGCCTCCACCACTTCCTCTGGCAGCTCGTTCCATACACATGCCAACCTCTGTGTGAAAAAGTTGCCCCTTAGGTCCCTTTTAAATCTTTCCCCTCTCACTTTAAACCTATGCCCTATAGTTTTGGACTCCTCTACCCTGGTAAAAAGACCTTGGCTAGTCACCCTATCCATGCCCCTCATGATTTTATAAACCTCTATAAGGTCACCCCTCAACCTCTGACTGTCCAGGGAGACAAATTGACTCTTTCAAGCTGACAGTCTTATACAACAGGTGTGAGACCTATTCAAGATAGTGAGCATATAGGAGTTTGTGAATTGAAGGCCCCTGATATCCGGAATTCCAACGGAGGAAAATTTTCCTCACAATGTAGGACTATAGGAAAGAGCAGGGTGCTGAGACTAATTGGCTGCCCTCTGTATTGTTGAGTCAATGATACATTGAGCGTTGAGAGAATGACAGTACTCAACCAACTCAGAGGTCATGATGATCATCTCCCGTTGTTAAGTAACTCCTGGAATTCACTGTAGCCTAGTGAGAAATTGGGATCATACAGTGGGACAGAAGTAACTGCATAACCTCAGCTAAGCTTTAACTTAACTCTGCAAGCTCTCTGTCTATAACCCAGGATAATCTCCACCAGCTACTTGTTGCTCTTCACGTTCCCAGGAAATCTTATTTCACAGTGGACCATGAGAATGTTTAGGAACAGGAAATTGCCTTAACAATCAGCAAATGTGATCCTGTTTGGAAACTGATTCAAAAAACTCATCTACTTCCCATCTTCAATCCATCCCCTCTCTGTGGAACTATGTTCGATTATCTCTTAGTCCCTTTTTATCTACCGTCCCCAGCAACTTACTTCACAAATCAGTCAGATTTAGCACAAGAAGGAACCTGCATTTTTATTGTACCTATCATAATCTCAGTTCATCATTTTACAATCAATGAAGTTTCTTTGAAGTGTGGCAATTATGGCAACGTAGCCAATTTGTGTGCAGCAAGCTCCCACAAACAGCAATGCGATAATGACCATCTAACTTATTTAGTCATGTTGGCTGAAGGATAAGACTGGGGCATACCACATGCTCTTCATTGTAATAGCCATGAAATGACTGAAATCCACACTATAGGGTAGACAGTTCAATAGCTCATCTGAAAGACCACCACATGCAACACTGTAGCACACAGTTAGCACTGCACTAGTGGGTGAGCCAAGGTTTATATGTTGAAGTCTCTCTGGTTTGGATCCTGATGCCTTAATTGTCTTACTCTAAGGTAAGAGTACGCTACTCACTGACACAATTATGAAAGGTCAACATTTGGTTAAAGAAACTCCCTATCTTCTTCCTTTCCTCATGAAGTTTAGCTTGTATTTCTTCAAACCCAACAGGCAACCACGTTGTGTTAAGTTCCAATTAACAACCTCAAACTTACTTCTTCTTTTCCAGTATATAAGCCTGACAATCAGGTGGAGTTGCTCCTTAAATCGGATGACAGCTGCTCCTGAACCTAAAGGCCAGTGTTGCAGTGGCTGGTCCAAAAACTACAGAGGATGAAATACCATCGCAGCCACGAGTGGGCACTGTAAGCCCAAGAACAATCGACTTTCCTTGCAGATACATCTTTCAGTGGTGTACATGAGCAAACAGTCTTCATTTTACAACTGGGCTTGCCGTGCTAGACCCAGGATTCAAACCCATCTGCTTGAAAAGGTGTGTCAAGAGATACCAGAACAAGTTGATTAAAAATATCTACAAGTGGGCTGTTGCTCATGTGCACTCTTATTTCTTCTCTGCCTCTGCTTTTCCCATTTACAAGAATGTAACAATATCATTTTTGAGTTGTGATTTCTCAGACTCAAAAATATTATGCAGATATTATACTTTTATTCTTTGTTTGTCATGGTTAAAGTTTATTTTCAAATAGGAGAATCTTCTCTAAATCACCCTTTCCCTTCATCCACTCCCCTGTCTTTTTCTGTTCTTTTGCTCCTTATCTTTATCTTTGCTTACACTCTTCTCTCCAGTATGACAAGAATGACCACATACCACGGCTGGACAATGATTTGGAAGGTCCTAGACCATGAAATGGTGCTATACAAATGCAAGTTTTTTCCACTTGGCTCAAGAGGAATATTAGATCAGGGGATAAGGGTGAAGTGTCAGTTGGGGATAAATACTTCTGTCAGATTGTTGGGACGGGGTATTAATCAGGGTATTTGGGTTGAGGTGTTTATTGGGTTAGGGGGTAGTTGAGTTGGGGGTGGTTTGGTAGGAGAGACAGACAGTCATATTCGGTCAGGAGGTGATTGGAGAGATTCACAGTGGTTTTCAATTCATTTACACTGGCTAATCTCGGAGTGGACAAGATTTTAACCAGCGTAACCTTTCAAGGTCCAGGACTACATGCTGAGGAACAGACTAAAGCTTGGAGCAGCTGCTGCCAAGGTGGATTGGGGAAGGACCACTGTCTGAGAGCCTCCTGCTAAAGTTAATGGGGGTCCGTTCAGTTATCGGACCCTCCTAATGCCTTAAATGCATGTAAATATAGTCTGGTTGAAGTAAGAGATGCCTTTGGTTTGTTTGGATAGAGTCAAACTCAATGTTTGTTTGTTTCCTTGATAGGCTAGCGTACAAACGAAACTGCATTTGTGACTATGTATATATACAAAGTTTTTTTTTAAATGAATAAAGTATATTTTTAAATTAAAGAAAAAACATTTCCAGGACATGTAATAGGGAACTCCTGCAAATCTGGTCCAAGTCTCTGATCCTGAGCTCAATGTTGACACAATCAATCTGGCTCCTT